AGTATCTGATATGCTTTCAATTGTTGATGCTTCACCAATATTCATATGGACAGGGTTATCCAATATTTTTTGATACTTGTCAGGGGTGGTGCATGTGTAGTCTGTAATGCGATACCACTGTCCAAGTGACAATTTAGATTCAGCATGTGCCTGATTTTCCTTTTCTTCAAGTAGTTGAATTACCTCTCCCTGATTAAACAAACTCATTATTGTTGTATATATATAAATGAGTTTCAATAAGGTATTGAACAGATGTGTTATGTAGTTTACATATTTGTCAACGACAATGAACCATAACACGTTTTTCCTAAAATGAAATGTCCATCTTGGCAATACACGTACTTCAAGTGGGTTTCCTGGTGAACCAAAGTAGAGGTTTGATACTCTATCTAACTGCGACGTCATATGTCTGCTAAAATAATAAAATGAAAAGTTGTTAGTATATATATATATATATATATATATATATATATATATTATATATATATATATATATATATATATATATATATATAACTAAGTATGATTTTAGAGCGGGTACAAAAGTTGATTATGGGAAAATATAGAGGATTTGGTAACATATTTGAGGTATATCATATCTGTGTGGATGTATATGATATGTAGACCTCACGCATGTCAACTTTTGTTAACAAATCACTGAATACGACATTCTTGGTACAGCTCATTGGTAAATTATCGTCTTGTTGTAGTAGAATCTTGATTGAGTCTGGGGAAGTTGCCCTTGATATGGCAACATACAGTTGACCGTGTGTGAATACGGAGTTTTCAAGAAATAAACCAACTTTTTTGAGCGACTGCCCTTGACTTTTATTTATAGTCATTGCGTAACAGACTTTGATGGGAAACTGTTTTCGAGTGAAGATGAATGGTAAGTCTGAACTATTGTGTACAAATCTAATTCTCGGAATGTATACCCGTTTGCCTAGTGACGTCCCTGTTATTATGGAAGCCTCAATAACAGAAGGCAGTAACTGTGTAATGATTAATCGTGTTCCATTGCACAATCCTTCCCTTTGGTTAATATTTCTTAAAAGCATAACTGGTGTGTTAACTTTTAACAGCAGTTTATGTGGAGGAACACCAGAGAAATCCAAATTGTTTAGATATTCTTGTGGATACAGTGCATCTAGTTCTAATGTATCTCGACCTGGTGATTTGATAGAGTCACAACTGTTGTATATAATCTGTTCACCTTTGGTTTTTGATAATATTAAAGTATTCACTCGGTCTGCTGTCTCATTTTTGGGACATATAATAACCCTGACAGATAAATCTTCAGGAGTTGGATTCTAGCATGTCATAACCATAAACGAAATCTATAAGCGATTCTAATCCCATGTTTTCTGATCTGATAAGGAAAGGTTGTGGTATATGTATAATCTTTGTATTTTCTGGATCATCTTTATCTGGAGTTCCGATCTTTCCATTGCCAATGTCAAGCAACCACGAAGCAAAATCAGATGTGTGACTTGAAGAGACAACCGAAGTCTCTGTTTCAGACAGTCGCATATTACGATGTAATCTATAGACGGTAAAATGTGACCAAAGATATGAATTCGGTAAGGTTAGATTGATTATCTGTGCTTTCCTACTTTTAGGTTGAACAGGTAGTGTTTGGCGAAAATCACCTCCTAACAACATTGACATCCCACCAAAAAATCGTGTGTCATCCTCAAGAACATCTCTTAATGTTTTGTCAAGAAATTCAAAACAACGACGATCACTCATTGGAGCTTCATCCCATATAATCATAGATGTTCTCTTTAGAAGCTCCGCTAACTGTGTTTTCTTTTTAATGTTGCATGAACGTTTGCCGTTAAGATCAACTGAAATAACAAACCTGGAGTGTGCGGTACGGCCTGAAGGTAACAACAATGATGCAATACCTGATGCTGCAACAGCCAAAACTATTTTTCCTATAGATCTGAAATACGAAAGAATGGTTGTCCACAAATACGTTTTACCTGTACCTCCGTGTCCATAAACAAAAAGGAGTAATTGCTTTTTGTTTTCTTTAGCGGTGACAACTTGTTGATAGATTTTGAGTTGATATGGATTCAACTTTGAAACCATACAAGCATGTTGAGTGGATAACAATTATGTGTTGTAGTTTGTTTCTTCAAGAAGAAGTCGATTTCTTAGAACAGCTAAAATAGATGGGGATGGCACGGGCAATCCAAAATCTATAAGAGATCTTGATGGAGTTGAAGCAAGAAGAATTTTCTGAATTTCCAAAAGCACTTGCTCTTCAACAGTGGTGGCATTTGGTATAAGTTGAGAATCTGAGGAAGCATGAGTAAAAGCATGACATATGTCATCGCCCATTTTGCTTTTTGCTGACTCCCACAGTAATACGGGACTACCTACCTCGCAGAATAATAGCAAATTGCAAAAAAGTGATCGTAATTCAGCAGCAGTTGCCCAAGAAGCCGCCTGATGTGTGTGAAACAAACTAGTTTTAATCCTACTAACTTAGACACAAAAATAAACACACGAAAGGCAGTGTACCTATCGATTAGTAATATAGTTCAAGCAAGTAGGGTATCGAACACAGGGAACGGTAAACAATTAAAATAAATGCTAATATTATCTAAATAAAACAAGTAAAAAAAAGAGTTTTCTCTAGTTTTGCAAGACTAGAAACTTAAATACTTTACTAACACGCAAACTAAGCAACTAATAGCTAAGAAAACAAAGATCAACTAAATTCAATGATTAAAAAGGCCTTCTGTTTAGGTTCGAATCATTTGTTCCCATGGATGATTTTATGGTAAATATATCGGATTAATTCTTCATTGGTTACCGACTAAAGTGATTAGATTCACATTCGCTATAGCTAATCCTTAGAAAACATATTAATTCAAGCAATGGCCAGTTGTCTAAATTAATGAATTTCCTAGTTTGTTGATTCGGGTTTAGAAAGACTTGTAATTAGCTAATCAAATTGGTGATTCAATTAACCTCTTGTTGATGGTGTATCACACAAGCTCACACATTAACTTACCTATCTTCAAGTTAATTCTAGTTTCACATTCGTTATTCCTAGACATACAACTATGTGGTCACGTAAATCATATGAAATTAGCAACTAAGAGATGTTCATACAACTTAATTACTGATTTATTAACAGAAGAATAGTTATTGTTAACACATAAGGTTCTTTAACAAGCTTAATAAAACATAATCACCAATTAAAATTAATCCTAATCAAATAATCAATCCATGTTCACAAATTCATCTACCTAAACAAAGTTATGAGTTTTTAGCTCATGATTACAGCAAAAACAAGCTCAAAAACGAAATCAATTGGTAAAAACATAGTTCAAACAAGAGATTAGGTAAGAGTAAACTTGATTTTGACTTGATTCTCCTTAAAATTGAATGTAGGGTTGATTCCCTTGCTTCCCACGCTCCAACAACACCTTTAGTCGACAATTGGCCTCCAAGGGTTCATCTATATGCTAGGGTATCGATCTGAAAGTCCCTTTATATAGATTTTCACAAAACAGGGGCTACTCGGCGAGTCCAGTGACCTACTCGGCGAGTCCATCACTTAAAACCCGTGTACGGCAAGTCAGCGCGTCCAGAATCGCGAAACTTCTGACCAACTCGGCGAGTAATCGACCCTACTCGCCAAGTACATTTCGAATCAGCATTTTCTCAAAACACGAAAGTCGTCCGAAATTGTGTCTACTTTTCAGAACATTTTGAATCTAGTCAATCGGAGTTACGGTTCATGAGATATGGCCAAAACACTGATGAGGGGTCAAGCTGTACAACAGCATCCTTCTTTCTTCAAAATCCAAGATCCAAGCTTCCAATAGCTAGTTCCGCTTGATTTTCCTTTCGAGCATGTCTTTGTTGCTGAAAATGAAATATTTAATCTAATTAAGCACCTTTTGTTCATTAAATGAGACAAAATCAACATAAAGTATTAAGATCATGCATGAATTTTATAACTAAATATGCCCATATCAAAATACCCCACACCTGACTTTTGCTTGCCCCCAAGCAAAACTGAATTTTAACACATTAGAATCATACAAAACAATCCCAATCGAACCCAGCCATTATGCCAAGACCGCAACGCATGCATTTGTGTCTAAAATTTTTCCTAAAGAACCCCCCATACTCCAAATACTCACAATCCTTATAAACATTCGCCCACTTTTTTCGAACAATGCTCATTTTATGCATCCCTCCGAATCCATCCTCAGAAAACCTCTTAACCTCAAGGTATTTTTGGTTGAGCAACCCAAGCATACATAATCTAGACAATTACAATTTATGATACCACATTGGAGCTCTTTGGAATTCTTCACTTGTTTGACATTTGATCTTTAATTTCTTTGAATTCACCACCTTGTTGTTTGATTTTTGGTATCTTCAACTTTTTGAAGTTCTTCAAAATTTTCGATCTTCTAATTTCATACTTAACTTTGATGCTCCAAAAATCTTCAAACTTTTTCTTGTAATTCTCTCTCTCTTTTTTTTTCTAACATGTAACTCACTTTTTTTTTTCCACTCAAAACCTACATGCTTAAGCAGGGGCGCTCAACTTCAACCTTTATTGGTTAACGATAATAATTTTCCTGGATACATTTCTGGTACATGATGCTAAACATATTGCATCCTTCAAACTAAGTGAGGTCGTGTTTTTATCCCATGATTTCACTCGAATAAGGAAGCCACAAATGCACTAGAACGTATATAGGCTCAACTAAACATTTGGGTTTTCATGCAATCATCAAATATAATACTAGCATGATCCCTAATTGCTTTACCAAAATTTTCTAAATTATCCTAGCAAATTTTATGCAAAACTTTAAAAATTAACTAGTGTAACCAACCAACCCCTACCCCACACTTAATTTATGCAATGTCCCCATTGCATATTATGCATGATAAAGAACAATAAAAATAAGGAGAGAATTGGAACAAACTCCCCTGGGATAGTAGTGGTGAGGTTGATCTTCTTTATTTAAAGCTCTATCTTCAGTTGACTTTAGACATGGGAACAACTCATCCATGCCTTGGGTGTCATTTGTCTCGTGCGGTTGACAGCTCCAAATATGTGGAAAAAGCATTTGGAATCGCCTAGAAATGGTCTTAAAAAATATAGCCAATTGCCACCTTGAATTGAATTAGATTGTCGACTCAAAGATAAAAAAAGTGAGCAACTCGTCAAGTTTTATGTGGAGACTTGTCGAGTTGAATCGTATATGTGCAGAAATCGTGTATTTTCGTTGGAACTCGTCGAGTTATAAGGGTGCACTCGACGAGTTTTCGGCTCTGATCGTGCAAATTCTTCTTTCTGCTTCAGATTTGATTTTGAGGTCAAAGAGGGTATTAAGGTAATACACCTCCTTATATTCTTCAATGAC